CCCCAGCCACCACCTTTTCTGCTAGTGGTGCAGTGTCAGGGGGATGCTGGCAAGGGACACTCAAGCTCTGTCTCCCCTGCCTATGGGTGGCAGCTCCCTTAACAGCCTTGGTGACATCCTGCAGGGTCCTTCCCAGTGAGGCTTTGCAGACCCTCTCCCTGGCAGCCTCACCCAGCATGAGCACATGGGCTTTTCCATTAGCACTGAAAGACAGACGCTATCAGCAGGAAAACAGAGAAGCTGAGGATGAGAGACTGATCCTTATGCTCCCATGTTATCTTAGTGAGCTGGAGGAAGCACTGTTAAAATAACACAACACTGATTTCTTTCAAAGACCAAGCACTCAGTTAAAATAAAAACTATTTGATGAAGTATGTTTCTTAAACACTATTTTTTTTTTTTTTTTCAAAGGAAAAGTTATTCTGTGGTGGAAGCAGCTTCTACTTAAGATTCCCTGGGTGGAGCAAAGAATATTCTGCTGGTTTTCAAGGATCTCAGTAGAGGCTTTAATTGTATAGCACATGAACAAACAAGCCAATTGCATGATTAGGTAATTTCCAGTGCACAACTTGAACTGGCCTTTAGCTGGGGTTTGATGCTGCTCTAGACTAAAAGTGAATTCAGGCTGGTGCAACTGCTTTGTTTCAGAGGTAATGTTAATGGTCCTACTCAACTAACAATAGTTTTACTATACAAAGTGAAATAGTCACGCCCTGAAAAATGCAAACCATGGCATTAACGTCACCGAGAGTGACAGTGAATAGTCCTTTGTGTATTTGAAGAATCAGAAGAAAAAAACAAGGGTGAGATTAATTAGGAGTGGGAGTACACAACTCCCTCTCCAAGCAAATGAGGAGCAGCACTGAACAAGACACAGGAGCCAGTTAGCTGAAATGTTTCTTGGCATTTTACATCTAGGTCTGAGAAAATTTCCTTTGCACCCCAGTGTCCCCAAGACATTCATAAACCACCCTCTGGCTACCCAATGTGATGCTTAACTTGTGTTCCCGGGTTTGACTATCAAGCTTTTCATCTAAGCCTAGACTCTCTAATCTGTCATCTGAAGCAGTGAGGGAATTTGCAGCAGGGTTTTTCCCAGCAGAGAAAAGCAATTCACTTGCTAAAGACATTATGTGGGAGATACGGCTTACAGATACAAACATTTGGAAATTTGGGTGTTTATTTTATAGCTTTTGTGGTGGTTGATGTTTTACTTTCAGTTTGGATCTTACATTACCAGTACTCTAAACAGAGCAACACATTCCAGACAAAAAGTCTATGAGAGACTCCCTTTGATTTTGATGGGATTTGAGGATAAATACTGAGAAATGTAACATAATGTAGGAATTCACATTTTCTGAAGCCTCATCTAGACCTGGATTTGGAAGGTGTGTTGCACCATGTGAATAACATGCTGCAGTTAAGGCACTGTGGTTTTAATGGACAGCTCTAACCCTGGCTCCTTGCAGGTAGCTGTTACTACATTGTGTTTAGCACTTGCTAATCTAGAAATCATCAATGGTAAATTATAAGAGAGGTTACATATCAAAGGCAGACTGAGCTTGTGGTTACACCTTTCAGATGTGGCCTCCTGCTACATGTAGGACTATTTTGCCTGTGTGAGTAGAGAAATAAAAGCTCCCCATACTGCCACGTATGTGCTGGCTGCAAGGGTAAGAGGCTGTGGGGTTGTCCATGAATGTTGATGGGGAGTTCTGCACAGGGGTATGGAGTGGGTGGCCTGGGATAGCACATGTGGAGCGGGTGGGTGAGTAAATCACAGAAGGGAAAGACTTGAGTGTTCAGCCATCCAGTAGAGATTTGGAGGTGGGGGAGGATAAGGGTTATGGTGGTTGGGAGTGGGTAAGGATGGGGCAGTAGTGATAGTGGGTGCAGTGCAGATACATAACTTGGTGCCCAGAGACGCCAAACATATAATTCTTAAGAAGCCATCACCATCTTGATCTCCTCCAAAGCTACATTGAGAAGTTTCCCCTCTCATTAAACCCAGCACTTTTGCTGTCTGTGTTGGTCAGCCAGGACAGCTGATGGTCCAAAGGCTCTGAAGCACGAGCCATTGCCTTGAGCTGTCACACAGAGCCAGGAGTTGGATTTCAAGCACAGAAGTTTGGCAGCTGCTCCCTCAAGCTGTCACCTCTCCTTCATGTACTCAGACTTGTTTGATGTAATCTGATACATTTTCCTATTAGCCAAGAAGAATAATTCAGCCCAAATCCACGATCCTGAATGAAGCACATGCTACAGAGGAGACAGAGGGGTTCATGGTTGCCTCTCATATAAAATGCTCTTACTTGAATTTTCATTCACCACCACCACCTCCCCTCTGCCACTGGTGGCATTTTGGTACAGAGGGGCAGTGGAACCAAGGAGAAAATGTGCTGCAAGTGCTATAGTTGAAGTGGAGTCATTAAATCATTCAGGTTGGAAATGACCTTTAAGACCATCTAGTCCATCTAGTAAGCCTAATGCTGCCAGGTCCACCACTAAACCATATCCCTTAGCACCACAGCTATGCAACTTTTAAATGCCTCCAGGGATGATGATTCAACCACTTCCCTGGGCAGCTGGTTCCAGTGCCTGACAACCCTCTGGGTGAAGAATTTTTTCCTCATATCCAATCTAAAACTCCCCTGGCACAACTTGAGGCCATTTCCTCTTGTTCTGTCACTTTTTACTTGGGAGTAGATGCCAACACCCATCTGCTACAACCTCCTTTCAGGTAGCTGTAGAGAGCAATAAGGTCTCCCCTCAGGCTCTTTTTCTCCAAACTAAACAACCCTGAGTTCCCTCAGCTGCTCCTTGTAAGACTTGCTCTCCAGACCCTTCACCAGCTTCATTGCTGCTCTTTGGACACACCCCAAAACTGAACACAGTCCTACCAAACCACCATGATGGGCTGTTTCGAATATTGGAGTTAAACTTCACTGATTCCTCAAACTGGGCCCCAAACCAGCTCTTTCAACCAAGTAGGACCAAAGTGCTCTGACTTTTAGCCACAAAGATCAGTGCTTGATACATGAATTTATAGAAGACCTTAGAGAAATTGGTGTTAACCCAGATGTGTGATTTGGGCCTAGAGCTGCCTGTGATAAATCTCTGGTTTTATCGAATGCTCCAGAGCAATTTGGAAGTTTATCTATTTGAGTGTTGCTTTGAGCATCACTGAACTTTGCAAAATATGTCTGGTAAGAATATAAGTATGACTTTCCACTGTTATTTGAACTTTGTCTGATGCACCAGAAGTTAGTTTTTCTTTATTCAGCTCTGTCCCCCTCACTCTGCTCCTCAATCTGTCATGAAGTCACCAGCCATGGAAGCGCCTGTGCAAACACACCGAACATGAGTCATTCAGCATTGGTTGCTACTCATTAAACTGTGGTTTATATCTTTGGAGTACATGGTATTATCCTTCATGGATGTGGCTTTATCTCTGTTATTACAATATGGAATTAATTAAGGATATTAATGTTTGTGTTTTTAAAAAAATAAAATGGTATTCCTAACTTTTATCTATGGAGGCAACATTTTCATATCCATTCTCTCCTAATGGCAGCATCCTTTGGAAAGATGTGATAGACACATTTAGGTAAATATTATTCCTCCAGCACACATGGTTTCCATTGTAATTGATCCCCTGCTTTTTCCTTCCCAGCACTTTCCTCTGTTACATATCCCACAATGGTGGCTGAAATACTGATCAGTGATAGCAGAGACAAATTGAGTCCAGCAACTGGGAGTTTTAAGGGCAACAAATGTTTATATCTGGGTTTTGCATGTCCCGTAGTTACTTAAATAGTTTTCAGAAGTGCACTGAAATTTTCACTGGCATTGAAAGTCTAAAGCTGCTTGTGGCAGTTTTAATTTAATAAAAGGACAGAATGAATGAAGACTGACTGAGTGAGATGGGACATAAAGATAGTGCACTACAAAACAGCCACATGGGCCCAAAAGCTGTAGAGAAGATGCTTCTCCTTTAGCCTCCCCTTCAGTTTGTGAGCAGCCTGGGTGCTGCACACAGACCTGGTGCAGAAGCTGCCTGAAGTTTAGGGGTCACCTAAGTGTCCAAGAGGCTCGGGCACATTCATGCAGTGCTTATAGCTCTCACAAGTTGTCCCTGGAATAGGTAATGATGCTAGGCAGGCTGAAGGTGAGAAACACTTGCATTTCTTGATTTGGCTTCAGTAAAGACTTAGACAATTAAAACTTCACAGCATGCTTAGAATCAACATAGTCATTCTTTATTATACAGAGTAACACCTTATACATAAATAATTTTAATGTCTTGCTCTTTCATGGAAAGTAACAAAGAAAAACCTTCAAGGTTGGTACATGGGAACTGGCATTACAAATCACATATGGTCAAACCCAAATCCTGCATCCAAATACCCAGACATTTGGTTCCAGAGTTGATCTATACAGCACCTTCCTCTCCTGCCCTGGAAAGAATTGAATCAGGACTCTCCTTGAAAGACCACCCCCATCATCAACCTCTGGTTATGGATCCCAACTCTGCAGCCTCGGCCCCATCACTGAAATCCAGGCCTTTACATTTGCAGTGGTATGAAATCCTCCTGGTCAGCAGCTGCAGGAGGAGCCGTTACCTTCTCCAAGGTGCATTATTCATAGGTTTTTGGAGGCGACTGAATTAACTAAGCTTACCCAAGCTGGACCCCTTGCAGCTATTTCTATTTCTTGGCTGACAAGCTGGTTACTGAAGCAGCAAGGTTAGGTATTGCACAGTCTAGCAACATTTGACTAAAACTGGGAGCGTTTATGCAGAACAGCAGTGTGGGAACAGATAAAGAAGCTAGTGGGGCTGCAATGAGAAATCTGAGCTTTGATCAAGGAGACAGCAGCATTTCACTCTATCTGAGCTGGCAAGGAGATCCCATCCCAAAGCAAAATAAAATATGTCATTCTTTTCAGCAGATGAAATTCTCCCCAGTGGTTTGTTCCTCCCAGGATCATGTTATGTGATCTCATTGTCTTAAAAGTCTTTCCCCTAAGGAAGCTGATCTTTTAATATAGACTACAGCATTAGCATCTGGTATTAAATCAGTCGGGCTACTCTGAAACGAGGCGAGTGGGCGTCCTGGAAAGGAAATAAAAATGCAAGTTTAATAGAGGAGACAGGTTCACCTTGACCCATGCTATTTATTGCAAAAGACACAGGAACACACTGCTTGCTCAGCAAAAGGTCACTCTACCCTGCCACAGATGTGTTTTACAGTCCCAGTACACTCCAGATGCACACCAAGCGTGCACAAGGAATACACAATCAGGCCCCAGAGGCTTTTACATCTTGCTTTGCTTTACCAAGCTTCCCTAAGAGGGATTAGCATATTCCCACAGCTCTCGTTAATCCAACTGGCAAAGTTAGGCAGTCGGCATTTCAGTCACACGCTTTTAGCATCTTTGGCTGCAAAGATGTGCTGTAAAAATGTTAGGAAGAAAAATTTCAGCACGGGAAGCATTGAATAGACCGCAGGCACAGTGTGGGATGGCAGGGACCAGCATCCGAGCCAGTAGCCCCTGAAAGGGTCTTCTGTCTCACGTGCTGCTTCCTCTGCACTCCCACCACTGTTTCTAGAGAGGCTCCATCCAGCTAGGCACCCAACACAGCAACTCACAGCCACCCCCGTGAGGAAGCCAGATATGATGCGTTAGGCACAACTCACACAATCCACTGCTGGTGTAAAACCAGCTCAAAGAGATTGATGTTGCACCAGTGTAGTAAGGGCTCTTATGTCACTACTTAGCACATGAACCCATGGAAAAGCCGTGCTTTTGGTAGTTTTAGGGATGTTTTGGTTTTTTTAAATGTTATCTGAGCCAACAAGATGCAATGCTTCAGCACCATCATGAATGAAAATACTCATTTACCTCATTTGGTGTTTCACTTTATAAATAACAATTTAGCCCATGATTGGAGTGTCAGCTAAATGAGGTAATTTATAATAATTCTGCAAGCACGCTAACCATAAGAGGCTATAATCAGAGCTAATTACAGGACATTTTGGAAATCCATTCGTTTGGAGCTTTAGTTTTGATAAAGGGGATAACAACTTGCAACGATTTTTTAATTATAACAATAGCAACCACCTTATTTTATACAGCTTCTTTCATCTCTCAAAACCCCACAGCTTTTTGCAAACTATACATACTGCATGAATTGTTTAGCCTAACACCAAAGTGAAGCCATCTCTGCATGAAATAAGTAACTGTCAAGCAATACATAGCAGTCCTGTGCAAAATTTGTAGAGGAAAGCAGGTGCAGGACGAGAGTATAATTTCTCTTGTGTCTCCTTACAAATACTCAGGGGATACTTGGATGCCCACTGCTGTAGCCCTCTGATCTCAAGAATAAGAAGACAGATTTGATATGCTCCTTAGACTCAAGGCACCACAGAGGAGGGCAGCAGCAGCATCTCCACTCACCCCTGAGGAGGCAGTGGCACCATGTGGCAGCATCCTGTCACACCTGCCCAAGCTCACCTGTCCATGTCCTCTGCTGGGTGACAATAAAACTTTGACACTGTGATTGGGAATTACAAATTGCAGCAGCTTCCTCAGCACTGTGAATGGAGAGCAAGCATCCCAGGTGGCTATAGGAGGGCCAGCACTTGTAGTCTTCTCCTTCCACTGTTCGGAAGCCCTTTAGGGAGATGTAGTCTGGGAACAGAATTAATGTTTTCAGAGGAATGCACCTCATAAAGGCTCATTTTTAAGTCCAATTGCATGGTCTTCAGAAAAAAGAAATGTAGAAGGCATCAAGGCCCCAGCTACTCTGCCACACTCATCTCAGTGTTGTCACCTCCTCACTGTACGTTCCTATAGAAATCTGAGCTCAGCAGTCAGAAGCCACCAAGTGAAATGGGAAGTTTCAATATCAGCCCCAAAAAGTGACCTATTGGTCCACAGGGTAAAATGACCCCAAAGAGAGACACCCAGTTTGCTATTCTGGTCTAGTTGCTTAAGTTATCCCAAATATATTCATCTGAAACATCAATGCATATTAAAAGAAGAGCATTTAGAAGCAGCACAAAAATATGTCCATATGTAGGCCAGATTGTCTGCACTGCATTTACTTTGCAAAACAATGCAATCATGCAGAGCTCCCAAGAAAAGACAATAAAATGCTGCTCAAAAAGATACTTTCAGTGCTATTTCTAGTGAATATACACTGCCTGAATGTATGGGAGATCAGAATATGACCAGTTACCAAGTGGCTCACTCCCTCAGTAGTTACATCACTTAAAGCATTCAAAATCATGCACCTTTTAGAAGAAGAGGTCTTTTCTGCAGATAGAGCCCTGACTTGTACAGATGTAAAACCTTTTCAAAAGCTCTCAGCGTTTCATTTATTCCATATCGTAAATCACCTGCGTTTAACAAAAAAAGAGGACAAATATGAGTAATTTGAAGAAGTATCATTTAGAGACTTGTAATAAAGAAGTTTATGAACATTAGCTGGTACCTGTTGCATTCAGAATATCAGTCAAAAAGGGCTGCAGAGCCAGTGGTGCAGAGTGTGGCAAAAGATAGGTGAAAAAATACCTGCAAAAAAATCCCACAGACCAATTAGAATACATTTGCTTAATTTCCCTAGTGATTAAGTGGTCTACATTTTCCCGTGACTTGAATATCCATATGCAACTAGTAAGTCTGCTTTGGTTACTAAGTTATGTTTGAGCTCTTCATTCGCATTTCTCAGAACGTGAGTTGGGCTGAAAACTGGGTCCTTGCAGCACATAGCCAGGCACTGTGTGAAATTCACTTTGCAAAGGCTCATGCAACAGAGCTTTCCTCCATTTCCTGGGGCCATTTCTGTGCACCAAGGAACACATTTCCCACAAAAAAAAAATCAAACATAAAAGGCCTATATAAAAGAAGACTCACGCAAGACCTTTCCCTGAAAAAGTCTGACATTCTTAATACCCCTGGGAAGGTAGGACTACTTGTTCTCTGAACCTTCTAGAAAACTCCTGTTCTACAAATGACAAATGCACTGAGCAAGGCTGCAATAACCCATACAGGGATTTGCAACAGCAAGTCCAGAAATTTAGGCTCTAATTTAGTCCTTCCATGTAAATGTCCAGCTGCCAAGACAGCCACCAGTTCATGACCAGCCAAGCATCACTGGTGAGTGGAAGTGCTCACGCTTTCAGCTGGTGTCCTACACAAAGTGCTGCAGCAGTGTCAGTCCCTTGCCTCTTAACTGTTCCATCTCTCTTCCACAGATGCCAATAGTGTCCACAGGGGGACTCGGAGGTCAAAAGAAGTTAGCCAGCTTGTTCCCAACAACAGGGCACAAAGCTGGTGGGCTTTGGCAGGTTGCCCATGCTGCCACTGCTTTCAGCAAACATAGCCCATGGATATCAAGTGCCAGGGCTTGTTTGGCAAACAGTACATTCACAAATGGAACCTCTGGGGCAATTTTCTAGAGGGTGTTGGGGAAAGGGAGCAGCAGAAGAAAGATGCCTTCGTTCTCACCAGACAACAACAACAATAATTTCCAGCCTTATAAGGAAAATACACTGGCTTCAAAGTGATCCTTAATTACCCTTTGACAGAGGTGAGGGAGAATCACTGCATGGAAGAAACACAAGATGCTAGAGGCTACATGGCAGTGTGTGAGCTCAAGCACCTCAGATTTTTCCCCTATCTCACTGGACATACCGATATGCATTGAAAAGATTCTTCTTTTCATTTATTCCTTCACATTTCCCAACTGCAGAGCATTTGAGAGGGAAGCTTTTTGTAGGGAAGTTGAGTGTGCAGTCATTATCTTCTTTGCATGACAGCTCCTCAATGCTGGCATCATCCATGTCTGTCACTTTTAGGTTTCCATCCACCATAACAAACTGCCTCGGCTGGAAATCCAAGAGGACTATTGAACCCAGGGGGGAATGTGCCAAGTAAAACAGCAGTTTCACAAGGCTCAGGCAAATCTGAGAAAGAGAAGATGAATATGCATGGGAAAAACAGATGAAAAACAGCTATTAAATTGGAAGTAGAACAAAGAGGAGGGCATTCAATGAAATTAAAGGGGAAAAAAACAAACCCAAAACATATAGTAGTTAAAAGGTAATTATATGTATGCTACAAAATTTATTATCAACATTGCCACAGGATTTGACTGGTAAGTAGTTTAGCAACATTTTTTAAAAACGTGTGTATACAAAAAGAGACATTTGCAGTTAAAGGAACTAGAGGAGAAAGCTGTGAGGAAACAATAGCAGCCTTCACTTTTCAGGAGCTATATTGATTTGCTAGCTGAAATCAGAAGGTTTTTTTCCCACTCTGGCATAGAATTAATACATTCCTCTCCCTCCCCCCATGCTGCTCCATACAGACTGAGGCTCCATGGTCATTAATACCAGATTCATGCCTTGCTGCATCACTCAGCAGTATGAATTTGGGCACACAATCGTGCTTCTGAAGAATCAGCCAAAGCATGCAATGCACTTTTTGCCAGCTTTTTTGCTTTTTACGTCAACTTTCTGGCAGCAGGGAAAGGTCAGACAGTACCTGATCCAGCAGAAAGCTTGCTACACAATTCTTGAACAAAACAGATCTAGAAGGGTGTATTTACAATGAAATAGTTCAAGTAACTTTTTCTGCAGCAACTGGTCAGGTAGGTGTGCAAAAGTGATTTGTGCCAGCGCGAGGGTTTGCTCACTTGGAACAGCTCACAGAACTCCTGCTATCTGATGTGGCTCATCAGAGGGGAATCCCATGCATTTAGACACTAATTAGGGAACAGGACTAGACAGTGCCAGTGTAAGGTCTGAATTAGTGTCTTCATCATTCAAAAGATTATGAAAAGCTTAATGCCACCATACCAGACCTCATGGGTTTCTAGCTCTGCAGAGACTTTGGCACATTTGAGAAGATGAGGTCCTGGGAAAGCTACGTAGAAGCCAGTATGAAATCTTTTGCAAGCAGAAGTGGAACTCCACAGGACAAGAAAAATTACTCTGGAAGTTCTGATGCTATTTTAAACTGCTTAGAAAAGCAATAATGGGAAACCCATCCCACAGCAGAGTGAGCATGGTTGCCACACTCCTCCTCACTCGTTTTCAACACTGCGGACTGAATGCAGTCAGGAACTTTATTTTGGGGACCTTTCCTGTGTTTCTATTTTGTCCAAAGCATTTCTTAGTAACATTAAAGTACCCATGCTTCTACTTGTTCCCCTCTTTCCTCCTGGGAGCCAAACAAGCAGTAGTGAACCCCCAACTGAGCCCTTGAGGCAAACTGTAACACAAGCTATAACCAAAACAAGTGCCATGTCATAAGTCGTTTATGTTCCTGGGGAGGTGAAGAGTCCCTATGCAGGATGCTTGAGACAAGGCAGATCTCACTAACAGGGATACAATCCTAGACCTACAGCAGGAGGAAAGCAATTTACTAATGTTTGTAGTACAGCAGTACCTAAAGGGCTGGGATCAGAAACATCATAAAAACACATGCTGAGAGACAGGCTGCTCAGCCCGCTGCCTAATACAGAGAAAACACAGAAAACAAGACTCACAGCACAGCGAGGTTCATTTCCCAAGTCAGAGAGACCCAGCCTGCTGAGGGGCCTCACTATGAAAGCCCCTCTGTGGAGGGGAACAGTATAGAGGGAAACTTAGAAATATACAGTAATACTGGGTATTAAACACCACTCCAGCCCAAGCACCTTTCTGTGGCCATTTCCTCTCAGATGTAGCTCCCTTAATGCCTCTTTAGAGGGAAAGGATGTAACAACAAGCCGCTAGGCTAGGGCGATTTTACTGTGGTATAAAAGGAGTTAGGGTAAAATAATTTAAGGACAATTCGTGGGAACAACCAGCGTGTCAGCATGACAGTCCCGTTTGCCCCAGCAGTCACCAGCGGCTCTTCGCATTTACCCAGTTTGCGGTCTAAAAGCGACTGATAAAACTCTCTTTGCTTTGTTTTCTTACTTTAAATCTCTCCTCCCAGGGGGTCTGCAGAAGCTGAATCATCTCCAGGGGGGATCCCAGCTCCAGCATCGCTGTGACCCGGGATTCGGGATCTCCGCTGTTATCGTAGCATTGACCGTGCAGCTGCAGGGAGGGAAGGAACGAGTGTCAGAGCGTTGCCGCTGCCAGGGCCAGCAGGTCCGGGACGTCCAGAGACAGCGAGAGGCAAC